AATGACACCACACTTCCCAACACAGACTGATTTTAACACATAAACTGTACCTGTCGCACTACAAAGTCAATTAGCTGATTAGTTAGTCTTAAAAAAGGGGGAAAATGTGAATCAGACTGAAATATACAGCAGACAGAATAAGAAGAGGGTTTCTTGCTTTTAAGATATTGAAAAAGCACAAACTCCAGTCTATGACCATGTATTTCGATTTAGAATGATAAATGAATATGGGCTTAAAGAATAACGAATAATGACAGGAAAGTAAATTATATTTAACATGAAAGTCAGATGTGTTTTTTTTAGAGCTCTATGTGGGGGTTTTTATAATAATAAAATTGAACTCTGTCACATCTCTCTTATAAAACCCAGCCGTTCATTTTGCTAAAATAAATCATGGGCATTAAAACTATTAAATTAGGAAAGTCTGCCAAAGCTAAACAAAACTGCAACATCAGCAGAGTGAAGGCCCTGATGCTCGATCTCTGAAATATAAAACCACTCAGTGCGGCATAAAAGCATGATGTCAGCAGGACAGATGCTTTCGTTAGCGAGTGCATTTACTTCTCGAGCCCTTGAGACTGAGAAATCCGTACAAACATCGATCAGCCACAACATTAAAACTACTGACAGGTGGAGTGAATCGCATTGATGATCTATCACGGTGACACCTGGCAGTGGGAGGGATATATCAGGCAACAGGTGAACAGTCACTTCTTGAAGTTTACGACTGGAAGCAGGAAAAATGGGCAGTGGACAAAATTGCAATGGAGCATCTCCAGAACAGCAGGTGTTGTGGGGTGTTTCCTGGTATGCAGTGGTAACCAAAAGCGGCAAAAAAAAGAAGGACAACCGGTAAACCAGCAACAAGGTTACAGGCGTCCAAGGCTGGTCCATGTGGTTTGATCCCACAGAAAAGCTACTGTTGCCCAAACTGCTGAAAACCTAAATGCTGCTGTAACGGAACATACAAAGCATCTGAGTTTGCTGGGTATGAAGCTGTGTGGCTGCAGAACAGTCAGTGTCCATGTTGAACTCTGTCTACCACTGATAGCTCCGACAATGAGTATCACAACTGGAACACAGAGCAATGGAAGTAGGTGGCCTGGTCTGGGTGGGTTGGGTTGTGGTTTGCGCGTTATCATTTTCAAAATTCCCTTCAGAAACGTCTGAGCAGCAACCTGTTACACTCATCGTGCAAAAAGGCAGTCTTGCTTTTTGTTTTTTAGTAAATTAGCCATATTAATGACAGTGTTTGTCTACCTGCAAGCAAATGTTCAACCAAAACACCTGTCAGTATTTTGCAGGGGTACCATCCCTACATCCAGAGCTTAGCACTGCCCAACGTAATTGCTAATGGTTAAAAGAAACGTAAACATGCCACATCTTTTTTTCCTCCAATGGTGGAATGATAAGGTGCAGTCAGACAGATTTCCAGCACTGACACAGCACTATAGAGATAGGTCTGGGGAAGCAATATTAAGCCGGTAGGGACAGTATGATGCTCTGGGCAGGGGGACGTTACTTTGATATCTACCCAAACACTTCAGAAGACCACAACAGCATTCCAGCAGGATAAAACTCCCTGTCACACTGCAAACACTGTTCAGGAATGATTTGAGCAACATGACAAAGAGCCTTCAGACTTCTCAGATCTCAAGCATCTGTATAATGAGCTGGAAAAACAAGTCAGATCCATGGAGGTCCCACCTCACAAGTTGCAGGATCTGCTGCTAACACCTTGGTGCCACAGATCACAGAACACTCTCAGAGGTTTGTGGAGTTCAGATGAAACAAAAAACTATCTACTTAGACGCAATATCCAGAAATTTGTTTGGAGGAGAAAAGGTGAGGCCTTTAACCCAAAGAACACCAAACCTACCATCAAGCATGGGGGTGGCAGTATTATGCTCTGGGGCTGTTTTTTTTGTTGTTGTTTTTTGGGTTTTTTTAAGTTATTTTTTTGGCCTTTGTGCCTTTATTGGATAATGTAGTCAGAGAGACACAGGAAAGTAGGGGAGAAGAATGGGGGGAGGACATGTGGGAAAGGGTCATGAGCGGGATTCGAACTCATGACCTCCACATTGGGACTGTAGCCCTGCACATGGGACGCCAGCTCAACCAGGTGAGCTATAGCTTACCATCAAAAGTGGTAAAGAACGGATAAGACACCAACCCACGAACAGGGGATATAGTTCCCCAACGCAGCGGTCGTGAGTTAGAATCCCGCTAACGGCCCTTTGCTGCAGGTCTCTCCCCACTAAATGAGTCCAGAAATTAAGGTTTTAGACTGGCCTTAAAGCCCATTGAGAACCTGTGGACTGGAACAAATCTGTCAACAACAGTGGTCAAAGACACAGCCAGAAACTTGCAGACAGCCAGCAAAAGTAAGGTGGCCAAAGGGTGTTGGAAATATTAGCACTGCTGTACATATATTTTTGATCCAGAAGATTTTATCATATTTTCAAAAGACCTATAATAAATCTATGAAAGAACCAAAATGCATGACTGTTTTTTGTGACAAAGATGCATGTGTTTTAATGATTCCATCATAGAAAATTCTGAGTTATAGGAGTCTTTGGAAACTCAACACTGCCATGATATACATGATCTTTAAAAGTGTACATAAACCTTTGTTCACGACTGTATATTTCATATTATACTTTTAAAAAACGTTTTCTGATTTCGTGAATGCACTCACAGGACTGCTGCATGATTTCATTGTTCACTATGACAAAGGAATTCATTTACATACACATAAAATACCAGCCTCTTCAGTTAATCCCACCAGACTGAAGAAAGTGGAGTGACACCACAGTAGCAAATATAATTATAACAAAGTCGCACTAATCATCTGTGAGCTTTCCTGTTCCAGAAGAACAGGTTTATGAATAAAGTCCAACTGTTCCGAAAATAAACCATGAAAAACTTCCCCCCGTCCCCATGGAGCTGATGTCTGAACTGTCACACAACCAATTTATTTTTTACACAGATGAAGCCATGTGCTAATTAGCTGTGGATAATGACATGACTGAGCAAACGTTAATTATCACAGCTTTTCATCAGTCGTCACTGAAGCCCAATAACAGCGTCAAATGATCGGACTTATCTGGATTTTGTTTTTGTTTTTTCTTTCTTCCCTAATCGTTCTTCTGTAGCCGTGAGAAATGAACTGAGATGAACGGAGAACAGAAAGTTCTCCTCAGAGAAACCAGCCAGGATAATGAGGAGCTGCTGGTTTCTATGGTTACTTAACTTACAAAGTCAACAGAGAGCGGGGGCGTATGTTTGCATAAAGCTTGATCGATCAGAAAGTGGCATGGAAAGGAACAGGATGAACCGGGAAGAGATGGAACCGCTGGAGTGATGTGTTTTCATGTGTTACTGTACTGTCTTGTGGGCGAGTACTTTGAGTAAGGTGCACTCAATTATTGCTCCACCCTTGCCTTTGGTATTGGTCAGTTCTTCGTCATATTATACAGACATTAAAACACTTACTGTTAGGATTCCAAATTAGTTCTATCGTAATGAATCTAAATACTTAGAAAAATGAACTGCTTTAAATCTCCAGCAAGACATCTTCTTGTTAAACCATTTAGTTTCTTGTATTATGCTAGAAAAGAGCAGTGCACCTCATATGCATGCACATGTTGTTGGCTGAAATCCTGTTTTCTTGTGTATTCATTGTTTTTCATTGCATTGCTCTACTGTGCAGTGCAACTTGCCTTCTTTAGGCTTCACCAGCGCTCCAGTGATTTGATAGGACACTCCAAATCTTTGTGTAAGTGAGAATATAGATGTGTGTTAATATGTGCTTCTAAAATACATGTCTGCAAAAGGTGACAAAGCCTATTCCAAGATGTGTTAAGTAAGAGGAAGAACACAAGGTGCAGTCAGGAAGTATAGAGACTGCACTTACCAGTCGCAAAAAAACCCAAAAAAACACCTAATTTAAATTTGGCTGTTACTTCCTTGAAAGTAGTGTTCTTGTGCATCAATGCACTGCTCCCAGTGCTCTAGCCACACTCCCTGAAAATCGCATTCTGTTGGAGTGTCAAGGTCCACCTGTGATGGCTGATGGATCTCCTAAACTGTGCCAAAATGGTGACCATTCAAATCGAAATAAATTTTGGGCAGGAGAAGAGTCAAATCTATACTAACCGCTGAATGTATGCGGACCGTTTGTATAGCAGATGTACTGTAGGAGGTATCTTTTTACATTGTTTTGTGTAGGGTTGTGTCAAAACAAGATGTTAAGCTTTCATTTTAAGACCTTTGTGTCTTTGCTTTTTGGACCATGAAAGCACCATAAAATTGCATGTTTTAAACAGAGTTTGTCTAATAGTTTAGTTTAATAGTTGTTCACGTCATCTAATAAATGAATTACTAAAAGACTGGGATATTATATATTTGGAGCGAGGATCTACACAACGCATAAGCAAAAATTATTAATTTAT